CCTCTCCCGGAGACCCTCGCCCCGGCGCAGGCGCAGCAAGTAGGTCGGTGGGGGGGGGGGGGTTGCTCCTGAGCCACCTGGACTGCGGCCTCGTGAACCTTCGGTCGTCTGCTGCCAGTGGTTCTCGGCCTCGGAGCCCGCTGCTGGGGGCCGCTCCAGTGGTGCCCACGGCCCTGCGCGCCGCCCAGCTTGGTGCCCAGGAGGGGCCTGGGGCTGGCGTGTGCCTGGTGCCAAGCGCCCATTTTCCCTGCCGGGGAGAGGAATAATAACTCATCCCTCCTTCATGCTGTGCCGTGTGGGCCTTTCGTTAGCAGGGGTGAGGGGCGGTGCAGAACTAACGCCCAGAAGGGACCAGGAGCTGGTGGCCCTGCAACGAGCGCTTACTACTGGCTGCCGCACGCACAAGCTTTTTAGGGGCTAATTTTTATAATTACTCGACGAAGTCGGTAGAATTATTATCCCCATTTTATAGAGAAGGAAACTGGGGCACTGAGAGGTTCAATAACCTATACAAGGTCACACAGCTAGTAGGTGCCAGAGCCGGGCCAGTCGAATCCCAATCATTGCTTTTGCCCCTATTGTAAAGGTTCCCCAAATGTCCATGTCATTGTTTCCACATCACCTCCCCTCTCCCCCCTACCCCCGTCTGTGGGGCAATCAGCCATTGAGCTGGGGCCTAACCCGGCCCTGGACCCACGGCCCCCCTTCCCCGCCCCCTTGGCGCCTCTTGCCAGCCCCAGCGCTGAAGAAGGCCTGGCCAGGGCAGGGATTGATGAGGATGAGAGGACCTTGGAGGCCACCTGTTTACTTCGCCCGCAGGCACACGCTGTGATTAACCCTGCACAATTGAGTTAGGGCCCCAGCTCCGCGCTGCTGGAGGCCTGGAGAGGGGGAGGGGCCTGCCGGCTAGAGCTGCTGTTCCCTGGGGCTCGTGGGGGTTTGCAAGAAGCTGCAGCCCCGGAGAAGTGGCTGTGCCCCACCAGCGGAGATAGGGAACGTGTGGACCTCTGAGGAGGGCGACCAGCCTTCCCTGCCCTTCTGGCCCCGCTTCCCCTTTTGTCAGAGGCGGGTGGCTTTCTGTGTCTCAGCCCCAGGCCTTGTTCGAGGAAGGAAGGAAGGGTGATCTCCCACCAGGAAACGGCAGCAATGCGGGGAGAGAGGTAGGGAGCCAGGCCGGGTCTGTCTGGGGGGAGACAGCCCCTCCTGGGCCCCACGCCTCCTCATTTCCGGGGTGAGTTTGTGTCTCTTTGTCTGTCCAACAGGCGTGTGAGCATCTCTCTTGAGCACATGCACCTCCAGCTCTAGCTTTCTTGCCGCAACAGCCAGTAGGGTGATTCTATGACCATGTGGGGTGCGGGAACCCATGAGTAAAAGCCCAGCCCCAGCTCTGGCCCTCCTCATGGGGACCCTTTGTTCTCTTGCCCTACATTCAGGAGATAGGTCTCCATGGTGTAGTCCATGGCATGTCCTACTTCCTGTGGCTTGGTAAGGAAGCCCCATTCAAAGGGAACAGTCTGGAGTCTATGCCCAGCAATGTGCTCAACACTGGGAAGGGAACAGGAAAAACCAGAACCCAGAAACCGTGGGACTGTGAACTAGTTGGGGAGACAAGATGATCTTACAGAAGGTTCCAGGACACACCAGAGCCCACGAATTTCCCAGAAATAGGAAAAAAAGGTAAAGGAAGGTACAGGGATAGCTAATGGAATCTGGCTACAGAGGGGAGGGTGTAGGCCTGCCCCGGGATGGTCATTTGGCTCTGGAGAGTGTGCAGCACGTCGGGGCACCAGACTGTTTAAGTTGGGGGTCCTTGCGTAGAACCTTGTGGAAGAGAAGGAGTCATGGCCTGTCTCCTAGCCTCAGTCTACCTATCTAGAAATGGGGTGGAGGTGGAGGCGAAGAGGAACCAGATGGCTCCACGGGACTCTTTCAGCTCTGATGTTTTTAAAGATAGGACACCTGGGGTTGGGCTCAGTCCTGCCACTCTTGGCACGTTACTCCTCTTCTCTGAGCTTCAGTTTTCCCGGAAGTAAAACAGGAGGTCGGGTTAGGCCAGTGTGTTCCTCAAACTTTATTTTGTGGACGTAGTAAAAAGGCCTCTGTGATAAAATGGGAAATCAATTAGGCTTTCTTCACTGCAGAGGCTTTAAATGGCAAATGTGCATTGGGAGTCTCCATGAGGCAGAGAGAATATACAGCATTTCCCAAACTTATTTCACCATGGAGTCTTTTTTACATGGAGTGTCTCATAAGACTGGCGTCTGGGGAACACCTTTTGGTCACTCTAGACTGGCTTATGTAGAAACCCTCCAGCTGTGACATGTGATAGCTTTAGGTGTCTCCCTCTACTAATCAGGTCAGCCCCTTCAAGGACTCCTTTCCCTGGCCCCACACTTTCCTGGACTCTGCCCACCTCTGGGTTCCTCTCTGTAGGGTACCCTTGATGTGCCTGGCTTCCTCCCTGGCTCAGACCGCTGGAGGGCACAAACTTCAGTCCAGCTGCCCCTTCCCTGATCCTTTCTGATTCCCAGAGGATCTGATGGGCACTGTCTGGGCTGTCCTGGCAGGGGTCAGTGTGATGGCCACCCTCAGCCCAAGAACGTGGTTTCCTGGTTCTGAATCCCAGACTCCCTCCCCAAGTTTCCCAGGCTCAGCCTCAAGCCCCCAGCCTCAGCCCTCAATCAACAGACCTCATTTCCCAGCCCCCTACATGAGACCTCTAGCCTCAGCTCTCTGAGTTCCCAGCTCCAGACTCCTGCACCTTAATCGGCAGATCCAAGCCCTCATCCCACTCCCCACCCATGGCTCCCAGCCTTCCTCTCCAAGGCAGTTTCTGAGATTCTGGCTCTGGAGGGTTAATGGACAGCCTCTTTCCTCTCCCCAGCTGCAGCTGCAACCTACTTGGTTTTTGGGCTTGAGCCAGGGGCCTGGGCCAAAAGAGAGCAACTGAGCGTACTGGCAGAGTGAGGGGTGAACCCCAGGAGATGAGGACAAGTATTTATAGTAATACTGCCCCCTGCCCCCAAGCCTGGTTCAAGATGAGGAAACTCCTTGGAGGCAAAAATACAGATTGTGAACAGGAACATTCTAGTGAGGCAAATGGTATGAGATGGGAGTTGGGGATAAACAGAAATCAGAAGAGATGAGGGTGGTAAGGCCCGCCCAGTGGGTCATCCTGGAATGGGGCAGGGGATAAGGGCCCATCATAGAGTGGCCAAACTGGGAAATCTCTAAAGTACTGTTTTACAGATGAGGAAGCTGAGGCCCTGTGACTTGTCAAAGGCTACATAACAATTCAGTGGCTAATGCCCAACCCCAAATTATCTCCTTGCATTGTGATCTCAATTTGGAGAGTGCTTTCTCTCCATCAGTTTCTCCTTCTAGAAATACTCTCTGTACTTAGCCTCTGGGGATACCCATCTTGGGTCTCCTCCTACCTTCCTGGCTGTTCCTCATCTTCCCGCTCACTAAACTTCGGAGTGTCTGGGCTCAGTCTTCGGACCTTCACATCCACTCCGCAGGTGAACTCATGCCACCGACACACTGATGACTCCCAAATTTATATCTCCATCCCAGGCTGTCCTCTGAACGCCAGCCTCATATATCCCACATTGGAGTTCATCGTCTATAAAATGGTGATAATAATAGTTCTACGTCACAGGACTGTTATGAGGATTGAATGATTTCTGACATGTAAAGTGTTGGAAGTGTGCCCGGCTCAGAGTGAGCTATGATTATTGTCATCACTGTCATTAGTGCTACCTGCCAGCTCTGTTCAGATGTCTAGAATCATCTCAGACATGACTCATCCCAAACCCCAAACTTGCCCTCCTTGCAGCCTTGCCCACCTCAGTAGATGGCAACCCCGTCCTTCCAGTAGCTCAGGCAGAAAACCTTGGAGTAATCCTTGACTCCGTTCTTTCTCTCACATCCCAAATCTGATTCATTAGAAATCCTGTTGTCTCAAATATATCCAGAGTGCAACTGCTGTGGTCTCGGCCGGTGTCATCTGTCACTTGGATTAGTGCCTCCATACTCGTGTCCCTGCATCTACCCAGGCTATATAGTCTGTTCTCAATGCAGCATTCATAAGGTTCCGTTTGCTATAGAAGTCGAATCATGTCCCTCCTCTGTTCCAATGCTCTAACAACTTCCCATCTTTCTCAGAGTAAAGCTCTTTACGATGACCTTCAGGGGCCTGCATGGGCAGCCTTTGCTTCCTCCGTCACCTCTTTTCCACCACTGCCTCCTCACTTCTGTCTTCCAGCTACACTGACCTTGCTGTTCCTAGAACATGCCTAGTGCTTTTCTGCCTCAGGGACTTTGCACTATAATTACCTTTGCTTAGGTAATAGTAAACAAACCATCAGGTTTCTACAAGGTATAGGTTTGATGCAGATTGTACAAAGGGTTGGTGCTTGGGGCAGTGGAGACATAGAGAGGAGCCCAGAGACCTTGGCAGGGGCCAGATCATGAAAGTCTCTGACTGTCCCTTGAACTGTAGGCAGCCAAGGAAGCTGTGCGTGTAGGGTAGGGTTGGGTCTAGGGTGAGGTGAGGTGCAAGATTGAAGGGAATGGCAAAAACTCAGCAGTCATGAGCAGAAGTATTTTAATGCAATATTATAAAAAATCAAAGTTAGTGCAAAAAAATCCACGATTTTTGAACAAAATGTTAAACTTTTAATCAAAGACAGGATTAGACAGGCTGGGATTAAAGGTGAGGCAGGAGAGGTGAGCTCAAGTGCAGTGCCTCCCTCGCTTGACGCTGCTCCGTGCCCTGGACTGCAGGCCAGGGACTCAAGGTGCTTCTGGGACTGTGGAAAGATGGGCTGGACAGGGATACCATGTGGTCCAGGGAGAGAATGAGACACAGAGGCCCTGTCTGAGGGAGTGGCAGCCGGCTGGACAGGTCGTTTCTAGCCTGTAAATTGCAGGTTGTGAGTTTTGCCCCAGAGGAACTCAGAGGACTAGTGAGATAGGGACAGAAACTGCATGTGGTGGTGGGGCAAACTTGGTTGGGAGGCAGGTAAAGACCAGGGAGGGTCGGGGCAGGGAGCACAGGAGTGGAGCTGTGTGGGCAAGGGCCACTCACCTGGCTCACGGTGAAGGCCTTCCTGAACCAGCCATCCGACCAGGAAGGGGAGATGCAGAAGTGGAGGGAGAAGGCTGTGCAGGTACCTGTGCTTGCAGCTGAGGAGGGACCAGGTGAACACGGCCTTGAGATCTTGAGATGTAACCTGGCAACTGGGCATCAATGGGGACAGGGCCAAGGCTAAGGGGCAAGAACAGGGCAGGGAAGAAGGGCAGGTCTAGAAATGGAGACCCGGACCAAGTACCTGTCAGGTACCCATGCACTGGGTCTGCAGTGGTGTGTTTGCCCCCCGCCCTTGCAGAGCCAGGTGCGGTTCATGCCAACCCTTTTCCTCCCATCGTTGGGGCTGGGGCAATGTGTGTCTGTCTCTGGACATGGCAGGAGTCAGGCTCCCTGGCCCAGGGCAGAATCCCATTAGTCCAGGAAGGGACCAGAGCAGGCCGTGGGTGGGTAGATGGGCGTGAATGAACTGTTAGCGTTCCTGGCTGGGCAGCCACAGCTAGCATCCCACCCCCTCCTGCTTCTCTTCAGTCACTGCCAGAGCTCCTTGTGGCCTCCACCACCAGGCCCTTCCTGAAGGGAGGACCAGAACTGGTACGAGGACCAGAACTGGTACAAGGACCAGGATCCCTGGGCTCTCTTCGAGACTGCAGGTGGTGGCTACCCTCCATCCCTCTCTTGCATGGTCTCCCCAACGCCATCAGCCCAGGAGGGGCGGGGAGGGGTTGAGGAGGAGGAAGGGCCTAGGGGATGGAGGATGAAGGAGATCAGATCTCAGTGACTCTCCTGGCTATGGTTTGCCTTCTCATTATAGAAAAGGCCAGAAGTGCGGCAGGAAAGCACAGGTTGGGAGCGGGGTGCTGAACTTCCTGGACCCAGGCCCAGGCATGAGGTGGTAAACTGCTCCTGCAGCCAGGACCTGGCCGGGAGGGGAGGGACTATTGCCTGCTGCTTCTGCATTCTTCTCCCATTTCTTTCTCTTTTGTTTACAGATGTTTGCACCTGCCTCAGGCAGGGGGAAGAGCCTTAAACAAAGCCTCCAGACTGGCTGCCTTCAGTTTAGTCCCTTTTCCACTTCCAGGAAAGACTGAATAGGGAGGGAAAGAAGGAAGATGTATAAAGTTTTTTGCTGTAGCCAAAAGAAAGCCTTGAAGGGAGCAGAGAAAAATGGCAAGGAAGGTGGTGTGTGTGTGTGTGTGTGTGCGCGCGCGCGTGTGTGTGCGTGTGCGCGCGTGTGCGTGTGTGTGCGTGTGCGTGCGTGTGTGCGCGTGCATGTGTGTGCGTGTGTGTTTGTGTGTGTTTGTGTGCGTGCGTGCGTCTGTAGCCAAAAGAAAGCCTTGAAGGGAGCAGAGAAAAATGGCAAGGAAGGTGGTGTGTGTGCGTGTGTGTGCGTGTGCGTGCGTGTGTGCGTGTGCATGTGTGTGCGTGTGTGTTTGTGTGTGTTTGTGTGAGTGCGTGCGTGTGCGTGTGTGTGTTTGTGTGCATGTGTGCGTGAGCATGTGTGTGTGTGAGTGTGTGTGTGAGTGTGTGTGTGTGTACACCCATGAATTCTGCCAAGCCAACTATTTGGCTTCAAGTGTAGGTAGGCTCCATGATTTCTTAGCTGTATCTCTTAACCTTCTAACCTTCTCTATTAGTTCGTTTCTGTTGCTGATAACAGAATACCTAATACTGGGTAATTTATAAAGGAACAATGTTTATTTCTCACAATTTTGGAGCTGAGAAGTCCAAGATCCAGGGAGCTTATCTGGTGAGGGCCTTCTTGTCCGTGACTCTCTGTAGTAACACAGGTTGTCACATGGTGAGAATGGCATGAGCAAAAGTGAGCTGACCTTCTCACTTGCCCTCCTCCTAAAGCCATCAGAGCCACACCTATCACTTCACGAACCACAAGGGCACAGTCCTCACAATCTGATCACCTCTTAAAGGCCCCACCTTTCAAATACCATACTCAGATTTCCCACCCTCTTAACACTGTTACGATGGGGGTGAAGTTTCAATGAGTTTGGGGGAGACATTTAATCAAAAGCACCTTCCTCACCCTGAGGATAATAATACTACTTACCTTATTGATTATGATATGTATAATGACATATATCGGCCATTATTGTATCATACAGAATAGTTTTACTGCCCTAAATATCCTCCATGCCCTGCCTAGTCAATCCTCCCGAACCCCTGGCAACCACTGATCTTTTTATTGTCTCCATATATTTCACATTTTTGATGCTATTGTAAATGTTATTATTTTTGAAATTTCTATTTCCGGTTGTTTATTGCTAGTATGTAGAAATACAATTCTTTTTTTCATATTGATCTTATAACCTGCCATTGCATTAAGTTCATGTTTTAGTTGTAGCATTTTAGTAGATTCCATTGGATTTTCTACACAATTGCTTTTTTAAAATTTTATTTAAAAAAATTATTATTTTTAATAAACCTTGTAATTGTACATATTAATAGCATACAATTTGGTGTTTCAGGAAATATATGTTGTATAACGGTCAAATCAGGGTATTTAGTTGATGGCTTTTTGAGCTGAGGGTTGGCTAATGTGGAGTGGCCACGGTGTGGGGGCCAGAGGGCAACAGTTGGACAAGTTGTGCACAGTTACTTTTCATGAAGTGGTCTTTGGTAGGTCTGGAGTGAGGGGCCCAGGGATGTTTCTCTGAGAACAGGCGCAGGATAGGTCCCTTCTGTCCTCCCCTGGCTTCCATTTCTCCCTTCCTCCTCTTGGTGTAGACTTCGACGAGATGCAGGGGCTCCTGCCTTCCACCCTCTGCCCCTTCTCAGTCCCCAGGGGGCCTGGGGTGGGACCAGCTGCTGCTCCTGCTGCTGTCGCCCCTGTTTCTCTTTCCACCTACAGGGGGAGGAGAAATAGGATTCAGGAATAGAGTTGAAGGATTCTTTTGATGTGTCTGCACTCAGCTGTCTTACTTTATGTACCAAACCACTCACTGTTTCCAAAAGCGGAGAGTCTCAGGGAGGATTCCAGGGGACTCAGCCTATCTGTGAGAACAGGACCCAGGAGGCCCAGGAGGCAGGAGGCCTGGGTTCTAGCCTTGGCTCCACCAGGGTCCAGCTGAATGACCCTAGGTAAGTCCCTGCTCTCCCCTTGGTCTGGCCTTTTTTTTGACAAAAGGGGCTTGGTCGAGGAGCTGTGAGCTCCTCATGGTTCTGAAGGTGAGAGATGAGGTGAGGGAAGGTGCAACCCACCTTCTCTCCAGGTCCCACACTGTGTTGGGCAGTGCCTCGCCCAGGGTCTCTGGCAGGAGGACAGTGATGATTCTGACAGTCACTGGGACCACACTGTAGATGAAGATAGGCAGGGAAGGGTAGAATGCAGCAGTCATGCCCACCAGTGGGCACAGGATGATGCCTACATTGGCCAAAGTTGTTGTCATTCCCCTACCCCTCTGCCTGTGCAGAGGAGAAACACCTTGGTGAGGCCTGTGGGGCTTGCGGGTGCCCTAAATGTGCCCGCCACCTTGGGCTTCCTCTTTTCTCACTCATTACAGGGTCAAATGCTTGCATTTAACTTGGCTAAAAGGAAAACAGGAAGCAAATGGTTTTGGAACCAGGAAGTCTGTGTTCCAGCCCCAATTTGAACTTCCTGGGTGACCGTGAACCAACCCCTCTCCCCAGCTCCAGATTACATATCCAGCGTTCTACTTTACGTTTTTACTTGGAGGTCTGAAAGGCCTCTCACATTCTGTGTGGCCGAGGAGCTCTTCATTTCCACCTCCACACGTGCTCTTTCCCCAGACTTCCCCACCTTGCTAAATGACGCTTCTAATCACCCAGTTGTGCATGTTCAAGTACCTAGGAATTACCCTTGACGCCTCTTGTTCCCTCATTTCCTCACATCCAAAATATGAATTTGGATGGCGATTCCTCCCAAACACATTCAGAGTTTGTTTCCTTCTCTCTGTCTCTGCAACCACTACCCACCACCTTACTCCAAGCCATTTTCATCTCTTGCCCGGACTATTGCACTAACCTCCTGACTGGTCTTCCCATTTCTCCTCTTGGCCCTGGTCCCCTGTCCCCAGCCTATTCTCTCTGCAGAAGCCAAAGCGTTCTCTTTGCCCGGACTATTGCACTAACCTCCTGACTGGTCTTCCCATTTCTCCTCTTGGCCCTGGTCCGCTGTCCCCAGCTATTCTCTCTGCAGAAGCCAAAGCGTTCTCTTAAAATCATAACTCAGGGCCGGCCCGGTGGCGCACTGCTACAGTGCGCTGCTTCGGAGCACGGTGGCGCTCCCGCCGAGGGTTCGGATCCCACATACAGACCAGTTCCCGCTCACTGGCTGAGCGAGGTGCGGGAGCAACACCGAGGGTTGCAATCCCGTTGCCGGTCCCGGTACGGTACGGGCGCGACACTGAGGATTGCGATCCGTTGCCGGACACACACAAAAAAGACAAAAAGGAAAAAAAAAAAAAAAAAATCATAACTCAGATAATTTCCCTCTCTGCTTAAAACCATCCAGAGATGCCCCATGTACTAAAGTAAAATCTGACCTCCTTATAAATCCCTACGTGATTGGTCCCTGCCTACCTCTGCTCTTGTCTTGTGCCTGCATTAAAGCCTTCAGCCTTGATCTCTACCTTTGATCTTATGGAACAGATTTTCTTGATTACCCAGGTCATCTTATCTAAAGTAGCCACCTAGTTACTCTCTCTTCCCCTACATTTTTTAAAAATCTCAGATGCAGAGGGTTGCGCTAGACATATTCTTGAAATGAGGAATTATCATTTGTCCTTGAAATAGCCCCTTATTTTTCCCCCCTTAATATTTATCCCATTTTATCACCATTACCCACTCCTAATTCTCTTCCTGCCAAAATCAACTATTGTATTGTGTTCAATGTGTGCTTTTTTATTTGTACATATTCTTGTAAAGTCTGTATTGTTTTGTGTACAATATTTTAATTTACCAAAATGGTATAGGTGATTGAATTGCTTCTGTTTTTCGTTTCATTCAGCACTTCGTTTTAAAGATGTTTCCATGTCGATGTGTGCTTACCTGCTCCTGCATACACCACAGTGAGTATCTCTCCACATTTCACATAAACACCCTGCCAGTGATGGGTGTCTAGATTGCTGCCAACACCCATGACCTCAGACAACACTGTGGTGAAAGTCCTTGTGTGTGTCTCCTCAGGGGCCTTTGTGAGAAGTTCTGTGAGATGCAGGCCCAGGAAGGGAATTGCTGAAAAAAAAAAAAAAAAAAAAAGGGGGAATGTTTCTCCATTAACTAAGATACTCTTTGTGATCTTAAAAGAGTTTCAAAATTTTATCCATGGACATCTTGGGTATCCTTTGTTAAGTCTCTAATAATATATAACTTTTGGTGCTATGGAGTGGTGTCTTAATTTTCAAAACTGTTGCTATTGATATTTTGGTCATTTGGTTTTGTGTCCAGCATCCTTAATGCACTCTTGTAATAGTTTTCATTGTTAATTGATTTTGTTGGCTTATGTAGGTAGATAGATGATCATATTTTCTGTAAATAATCATGTTTTAACTCTTCTCTTTTAACTTTTAATTTTTTAATTTATTTTTCTTTCATAGTCGTGTGGTTTGGCCAGGCCCCCCAGTACTGTGTTAAACAGTTGATTCTGATGTTGAAGAGAATGCATATACGTTTTCTCATGTATCTCAGGTATCGTGTTTGCTTTTGTGCTCAGGCATTCTACTTATCTCTCTGGTTTCCCACTTTCCCTTAGATGATTGGCCCAGTTTTTCTTTACTATCTTTCCAGCTCATTGGTTCTTTTTAGGATATTTTAAAATAGTTTATACTTTCTGGGGGTTATTTTCAGTGTTATTTTAATAGAAATAGAAGTCATTTTTCTAATTGATTTTTGGAAGTTCTATATAAATTCTGGATGCTAATCCTTGCGAATTCCTTTCTTTACTTTATTTATTCTTTCAATTTATTTATAGTGAAACAAATGACCAGAATTTAAAAAATTTCAAAACAGAGAAATTTATCAATGTTCCTTTTTTGGTTAGCATTTTTTGTCTTAAGAAACTCTCCCCTCTTCAACAGGAATTCATTTTTGTTTATGTCTGAAATATAGATTGAATTTTACTTATTTCCTATGTGGGTGAATTGATGTCCTGATGCTATTTATGGAATGGTCCACGTTTTATCCAGTAGTCTGTAGTGCCTTCTCTGTCACTTACCAAGTGTCTTGTATGTATGGGTCTGTTTCTGGGCTTGCTATTTTTCTCCACCAGCCAATTTTGTTTTTCCTGCCCCATCATCCACTGTCTTAATTACTGCAGTTTTATAATAAGAGTTTACAGTATGTATTGATTGCTGGGAGGGCAAGTCTTTCCACTTTGTTCTTTTTTTAAAGAGTGTCTTAGTTATACTTGGCCCTTAGCACTTTTATATAAATTTTAGAATTTGCTTAGCCAGTTCCTTGAAAATATCCACTGGGATTTAGATCAGAATTGCATTGAATATATGAACCAAAATCAAAATAATTGACATTTTTATATCATCTATGTCAATTACAGCAACCTGCCAAACTTTACTATTTCTAATAATTTTAGATTTTAACATAGGGAATCATGTCTTCTGTTTATAGTGACAGCTCTGATTTTTCCTTTTTTAGTCCTCTTTCTTTTATTTGTTATTCTTATCTTATGCCCTCTCTCACTCTCTGTTATTCTTATCCTGTGCGCTCTCCAGAATAATGCTACATAGAGGAGGAAGTAATGGGCACGTTAGTCTTGTTCCTAAGTTTAAAAGGAATTCTTCTAATATTTCACCACTAAGAATAATGTTTGCTGTGGATTTTTGTAGATGTTCCATATCAAGATAAGTTGCATTCTATTACTATTTTCCTGAGTATTTTTAATGGATGCTAATTTTTATTAAAGTTTTTTTTTTTTTTTGCTTTGATTAGGATAAAAATCTATGAATGTGGATATTAATATATTTTCTAATGTTAAACCACACTTGCTTTCTTGGGACAGACTCTAAATGTATTATCTTTTTTTTTCCTTTTTGTCTTTTTTTGTGACCGGTAATGGGATCTCAACCCTCAGTGTCGCGCCCGTACTGCGACCGGCAACGGGATCGCAACCCTTGGTGTTGCGCCCGCACCACGCTCAACCAGTGAGCGGACTGGTCTCTATATGGGATCCGAACCCTCGGTAGGAGTGCCGCTGTGCTCCCAAGTGCCGCACTCTACCAAGTGCACCACTGGGCCGGCCCATATTATCTTTTTTTATATATCACTGGATTCATTTTTCTAATATTTTGTTTAGCTCAACCAGTGAGCGGACCGGTCTCTATATGGGATCCGAACCCTCGGCAGGAGTGCCGCTGTGCTCCCAAGCGCCGCACTCTACCAAGTGCACCACTGGGCCGGCCCATATTATCTTTTTTTATATATCACTGGATTCATTTTTCTAATATTTTGTTTGGAATTTTTGTGTGTATGTTTATGAGTGATTTTGGCCCATAATCTTTCTTTCATAATTATCCTTCTTCAGTTTCAGGATCAAGGTTATACTCACCTCATAAAATGAACTTGAGATAATTCCCTCTTTATCTCTTTTTTGGGAAGCATTTGTTTCTTAAAAGTGTGGTAGAAGTCACCTGTAGTGGTTTCTGGATGTGGTGATTTCTTTGAGGCAAGACTTTAAAGTTTACTATTCGGATTTTTAATTTATTCTAGGTTTCCTATGTTATGTTATATAAGAATTTGTCAACTTCAAATAAAATTTTAAATTCATTAGCATAGACTTGTTCATAGACTTTTCCCATTTTTTAAAATTACTCTAGATTTGTAGTTCTGCTTTTATTTAATTTCAAAATTTTTTTCATGTCCTCTGTCTTTTATTTTTTTGATTATTGTTACCAGGGATTTGTCCATTTCATTGATATTTTTAAAGAGCAATTTTGTGTTTTGTTGAGCTTCTCTAATATATCTTTGTTTTCTGTTTAATTTGTTTCTGCTATTATTATTTCTTTGTTTTACAGGTAATATAACTGAGCATTTGGACCAGGAACATTGGCTCCAGAGCCAAATTCTTAACCATTGCATTTTTTTAAATCTTAAAGTCTATTTAGTCTCCTATTAGAAATATCTGCTTAACTTCTTTCTGATTAATATTTGCCTGGCATATCTTTTTTCCAGATCTTTGCATTTAACATTTTTATAAACTAAGATTTTAGATGGGTCTCTTGTAAATGGCATGAACTAGATTTTTTTCTCTTTCTCTTTTTCTTTTTTGGCAGCTGGCTGGTACAGGGATCTGAACCCTCGACCTTGGTTTTATAATACCATGCTCTAACCAACTGAGCTAATCAGCCAGCCCATGAACTAGATTTTTTTTAAAAATGAGCTTGGAATATCTTTGCCTTTTTTACTGGTAAATTTAATCCATTTACACTTATTGTGGTGACTGATATATTTAGATTTATTGATACCATCTTACTTTTTGTCTTTTATTTGTCTTGATTTCTATATGTATTTGTCCTCTTTTCTTTCCTTAAAAAATAATTGATTGATCTGTGTGCCTTTTCTAACTGGAAATCTTCTGGCTTCTCTAGGGCCTGATTATCCTGTTCTGGGACCCCTTCTCCAAGCCTCGCTTACTGCATTACTGTGGGATATAGCTCCCTTGTGTACACATAGATGCAGTTTATAGAGCCAGTGATGCAGCCTTTTCCTAACATGGCCATTGTGATGTGAAGGAGTAACTGGGTCTGGAAGGAAATGAAGATGATGGAAGGGTGCTGGCAAAAGTTTGAAGGAGACTTGGGTCTTTTTATCCTTCTAGGTAGCTGGTCTGGGTCAGATTTGGGGCTGGGGCTGGGAAAAGATCAGGACAGGAGCAGGGATAGGGCAGACGGTCACCCAAGGGTACTATTGCACAAGCCAGAAGGCAGATCCCTGACAGCAATAATGAGCCCGTTCAGGTAAGCCTGCATCCCAGCAGTTTGGTGGCCAGAAAGCCCAGGAAATAAGATGGTAGGTCCTTATCTGCAGAGAGCAAGCACCTGGATTAAGTAGATGTTGATCCCCAGACTTTGCAGACTTATGACCAAGCCATAGAAACTGAAGAAGAATGCAGACCTGGGCCAGGAGCAGAGGGGATATGTTCTGGTTAAGAGCCATGCCACATTTATATAGCAATTGCTGCTGGCAAACTGCTTTCACATCTGTTCTCTCCTTTGGGACATCAGCCCTGTGAGTGGGGTTTTTATCTTTCAGATAAAATCTTCCCTTTCCTTCTAAAAGATAGAATATTACCTATTAGATATTAATCAACATTTTAAAATTATCTAGGAGAAAAGAATATTTTTTACCTAGCACTATGTCCCCTTGCTCCTTTCCTCCCCCAATTCCCTGTCCTAAGAAACTTGCTTTTGATAGATGCATGCTTTGATAAATTGCACTGGGTGTGTGTGTGTGTGTGTGTGTGTGTGTGTGCACGCGTGCATGTTTGAAAGAGAGACAGAGAGAGAGACAGAGAGAGACTCCCTCCCCATAGGTTTGCTCCAGTAAAACTGACGAATTCTAAGAAGGAAGAATTCATTTAATGGCAGGAGTTTGGCTTTGCTGAGTAATGTATGTAAGTTTACAGCCAGAGATGAATTCTTAGGACAATGGGGAGACTTAAGAGGTAATATAGGGGAAGAGTCAGGAGAGACAGGGGAAGAATCAATGGCTGTTAGCCAAGGATGGATTTGAAGGAGAATGGAAATGCCTATTAAGCCATTTTTCTATGTATGTATGTATGTATGTACGTACGTATGTATGTAAAGTAAGCATCTCCTTTATCTCCCCCGTAGTCTTGGTAAAACCAACGATGTTTAGTCATTCTTAGTGGGGTGGCTTTGCTTTTTAGAGATGTGATGAAGTACTATGTCCTGCCTCAAGGTTGGCAAAGGACACAGCGAGAAACTGTGCTCAAGAAGACAATCTTACGGGCCGGCCCGGTGGCGCATGCTACAGTGCGCCGCTTGGGAGTGTGGCGGTGCTCCCGCCGAGGGTTCGGATCCCACATACAGACCGGTTCCCGCTCACTGGCTGAGCGAGGTGCGGGCGCAATGCCGAGGGTTGCGATCCGTTGCCGGACACTAAAAAAGAGACAAAAAAAAAAAAAGAAGACAATCTTACATTAGCCACACTATAATTAAAAATTAGTCGGTTCCCGCTCACTGGCTGAGCGAGGTGCGGGCGCAATGCCGAGGGTTGCGATCCGTTGCTGGACACTAAAAAAGAGACAAAAAAAAAAAAGAAGACAATCTTACATTAGCCACACTATAATTAAAAATTAGTCGGAACACTGTTGGCACCAGAACAGATAGACAAATCAATGGGACCGAATAGTTCAGAAACAGTATGTGATAAAAGTGACATTTCACATCAGCCAGGAAAGGTGGGACTATTTATTAAATGAAATTGGCACAATTAACTAATCTAGACCAAAAAAAAAAAAAAAAAGAAGAATCTTACTTCTTATCTTATGTTAAACTAAATTTCAGATGGATTATGATAAAATATAAAAGCCCAAACAAAATGAATGCACTTGAAGAAAATCTGGGTGAAAAGTTTTACACTCAGTGGGAAGGGAAGACCTTTCTAAATGAAACCCAAAACACAGAAGTATAGAGGTGATTATATAAGAAGACATTTTATTTTATTTATTTATTTTTAAAAGATGACCAGTAAGGGGATCTTAACCCTTGACTTGGTGTCGTCAGCACCACGCTCTCCCAAGTGAGCCATGGGCTGGCCCTTAAAAGACATTTTAAAATGCAAAAAGTATTGATCACATATGATAATAGGTTAATATCTTTAGTGTAAAAGAGGATTCTTACAAATCAATAAAAAGGAAAAAATGGGCAGGGGATATGAGTGGGAAGTTTACAAATGAAGAAATTATAAATAGATCAAAATTATATGAAAAAATGTTCATCACCTTCCAGAATTCAATAAAAATGTAAATTAAAACTAGACAACTGTTTTCTGCTTCTCAGAAGAGTACTCGATGTTGATGAAGGTATCTTATGTGCTTTTGTAAACCTTACTTTTCTACAGAGCAGTGTGGCAATATCTGGGAAAAATTTTACTTTCTTTTGAATACTTTTGAGCCAGTAATCACTCTTTTAAGATTTATCCCAAAAGTTTAATCCGACAGATGCACATGCATGGGTACTTGTTAATAGTTGGGAAGACCTGGTATGTCCAGTACTGGTACTGGTAAAGTAAATTGTGAAATTATGAAATACAATGTAATCTTTAAAAATGGAGCTCTGATTGGGGTGGGAGAAAATTTATTGTATTAACTCTTGGAGAAACTGCCAGGAAAAGTAATATGTACAGTAAATATTCGTGAAAGATTCTGTATGTGATCTTGCATGTTTGGCAATATTTTGTGTGTCATGCTTTGTTGGTAGAAAGGGAATATATTCAGTCAGTGCAGTGGATAAACACGATCATCTCCATCAACAACAATCACAAAAGTCTGGAGAGCAAGATGCTTGGAGATGTTTAATGTGTGTGTGTCCAGAAGAGAAGAGGAAGAGGTGGAGTTTGGGAGGTGTTTGTGTGGAGGACAGGAATGAAATAATATGGTGGGGGCTTGACTGGTGGATAAAAGGAATGTATTTAACCCAGGTGCCCTGGAACTTCCAGAGTCTGCCTGCTATTTCTGCTGCTGGCGTGAAGCAACCAGCACAAATAAACCACATGCCTGTGCATCGCCCGGCCTCTCCTGGCTCTGGGTGTCACCGAATGGAGACAACCTGGATTGGAAACAGGTGGCGCCCATTTTCCCGATGGCTTTCACGAGTTGGCTTGAGTTGCTAGTGGCTGCGGCAACCTGCTGCCTTCACTGTTCACCCAGCCCCTTGCCACAAAGTGGGTGGAGGCCACTAGGAGGGGGTGAACCAGTGAGAATAGAAGGTCAACAGTGTAGATCCACGTTTATTTATTTTTATTTATTTATTTATTTGTCTTTTTTCCGTGTCCGGCAACGGATCGCAACCCTCAGTGTCGCCCCCGCACCGGACCGGGACCGGCAACAGGATCGCAACCCTCGGCGTTGCCCCCGCGCCTCGCTCAGCCAGTGAGCGGGAACCGGTCTGCATGTGGTATCCAAACCCTCGGGCGGGAGCGCTGCCACGCTTCCCAAGCGGCGCACTATTCAGTGTGCCACTGGGCCGGCCCTTTCAAAGATTTTTATTGCTACATTATTTGTTGTGGCAAAAAATAAATAAGAGAATACATGAATAAATACATAAGTAAATAAATAAATGAAACAGTAAACATTCATCCACAGAAGAATGACTGAATAACGGGAGCGCCGCCGCGCTTCCCAAGCGGCGCACTATCCAGTGTGCCACCGGGCCGGCCCAGATCCACGTTTATTGATATGGAAAGATGTTCATAAAATCTTGTTAAGAAAAAAGATTCTTTTTGAACTGTAGGAAGAACGTGATTGCAATTTTGTAAATACATGTAATATAAATTACTGTATGTTTGTGTGTTTCTTGTATGTGAAACAGTAAAAAGTCTGGATGAACATATATCAGTGTGTTAATGGAATATGGGATTAAGAGGTTATTGAAAGCTTTTTGTTTGTTTGTTTGCTTATCCCTACTGCCTAATATCACTTGGATGACCTGTAAGTTTTCCTTCAAGCTGTTATGGAAATACACAAAACAAGTGAGATCATGGCCGACCTTTTGTCAGTGGCAAAAGACCCCACTGTCAGGGACAGGTTGCACAGGATTTAAGAAGACATTGTGGCAGACACACTCTCAGGTGGCCCCCTGCTAGCAGACTCATTAGAGACTCTCCTTGCTGGCTTGATGAGGTAAATTGCTATGTTGAGAAAGCCCATGGTGCAAGGAACTGAGGACAACCTCTAGAAGCTGAGGGCAGTCTCCAGCTGACAGCCAGCAGACAGCCAGGGCTTTCCGTCCTGCAGCTGCAAGGAAATGGATTTAGGCAACAACCTGAGTGAGCTTGGAAGTGGATTCTTCCCCAGTTGAGCCTCCAGATGAGAACACAGGCTGCCTGGCCCCTTGATGGTGTACTCAGCTGAGCTATGCTTGGACTCTTGACCCACAGAAACAGTGATCTAGTAAATGTGTGTGTTTTAAAGCTGCTGCTGCTAAATTAGTGGTAATTTGTTTACAACAACAGAACCCGCCCCTCCCCCCAAAAAACCTCACCAAAAACCAAAAACTAAAAAGCAAACCAGACATCATCAGGGAAATGTGAGGGCCTGTGACATGGAGCCCTTAGGACAGAAGCTCAGGGCTTCTGGGAGTGGCTGCTTCTCTTCTGCCCCAAGGTAAGTGAGCTCAGAGCTCTTCAGAGTGGAGGGAGAACTGCCCAGGCTGAGGCACGGCTGGGGTCTCCCTAGAGAGGGGGACGCCCTCGCAGCCTCCAGAGCACCTGTGTCCTTTCTCACTTGCTCTGGGGCCTCCCTCGGCTTCTCAGCCTTCCCAGATGGTCCTGTTAGTGCAGTCTTCCTGTCTGTCTGTCAGTTGTCTTCCGTCTAAGTAGGGATGGGCCTACCACAGTGGTGTGAGGCGGAAGAGGTGGTGAACGGCAGGGGAGCGCAGCAGCTGCAACATGGGGGGATGGGCTTGGCCCATGGTCAGGTGCTTCTGCAGAATGGTCTGGAGCACCTGCCTGGGTAGACGGGGCTCAGCACCTGGGTGTTCTGGATTCTAGGGTGAAGGTGGGAGCTGGCAGAGCCCTGGTGGGGTGTCACAGAGGTCTTGGGGTTCTTACCTCCATACTCAGCTTGGTATCCTCTTCCTGTTTCCCATTCATCCGGGCCACTCTCTGCAGGGCCTTCAGGGTGAGGTCCAGCCTCCCACAGGGGGAGCACCAGAGGGCAGACTCAGTGAAGAACCTGTGGGTGGGGACAGGCATGACTTCAGCCTGGGCTGACAGAGTTGTGGCTGCTTGAGGAGGGCACAGACGAGCTGCAAGGCACCTTGGGGGATGGGAAGAATTCTGGGATGGGACTTAGGAGTCCTGGGTTCTAATCCAAGGATTGCCACTGTTTTCTTGAGAGACCTGGGACAAATCCTGCCTCTCTCTGTGCCGTGGATGGTTTCCCCCACCTATCGAACTGGACATTGGTTCTTTCTGTTTTGACCTGCTTTGTTACTAGTGGGGAGGCAGGGGGTGCTCCAGGAGATGCTCTGCCTACCCGTGACTTATTGTGACCCCTCTACCCACCCTCGGGTCATGTACCTGGAGTAGATGAAGAAGACAAAGAGGGGTGGAGAGATGAACAGCTGGAGATGGCGTCAGGAGGGCACAGCATAAGTCACATCAACCAGGAAGAAATGGCCTAGGCTAGGGCCAAATCCAACTAGGAGGCCCAGACCTGGCTGTGCATGGATGGGCACCCACTCCAGACCTGGGGAGAACAGAGCTCAGGTTGAAGCTAGGATGTGTGTGTGTGTGTGTGTGTGTGTGTGTGTGTGTGTGGCAGTAGCTACTTCCAGATGATGAGTATCCTGATATTGGAGCAGAAAGGCTCCTCTCTTAAGCTCAGTCCTGCTCTGCACCTCCAGGACCCTCAGAGGGCAAGGCAAGCGTGGATCATGGGCCATGTTCAGTGTGTGTGTGTTGCTTCTGTGGAGCAAAGAATGGGCTGGAAGGCTCTGAGTTCCCAGGCGTGCTCTGATTCAGGGCTCCTGTAGTCTTGTTTTACCTCATGAGCCTGTCCCTCCCTGGATACAACTGAAGACTCCTGGCTCTGGGATTGGACTGAACTAATCAGATTCTTTATATGAGGAATTTGGAAATATGGCCCAGAAAACAGGATTTGTAAGGACACTTAAAGTTGGGGTGGAATAGCCAAGTTTGGATGAATGTGAAAGTAGAGTTGAGAAAATGAGAGAGAGAGAGAGAGAAGAAAGAGGTGGAGCAGGAGGAGAGAGGAAAGGGGCCAGAGGAATGAAGTAACCTAGCCAGAGAGAAGTCAGGATGAGCTCAGTAAGTGCCAGAGAGGTAGAGATGGAGAGTCCAGCTGTCTGTTCGCTTCAGCTGCCTCGTAAAGCTGGGCTCAAGTACCTGATCTTGGTCTGGGTGAAATACTCTTACACGCTTCCACTAGCTTTCCATTTTCATACCAGCAAATTTGAGAGAGTTGTGGTTATTTGTGACCCTGAAATAAACAAAAGTTTATTTCAGACTTAGGTTCGCAGCAGAATTAAGGAAAGGTACAGAGATTTCCCGTATATTTCCTGCCCCCACATACACACAACCTCCTCCGCTATCAACATTCCTCATCAGAGTAGGACATTTGTTACAATTGAACCTACATTGACATATCATAATCACCAGAGTCCATGAATGAATATGGTATACTCAGAAAGAAACTCTCAGCCTCTGGTCTGTTGTAAGGTGCTTGCCGTCTGCAAAAGCTACAATTGCATGGGGCTTGTATCACCTTAGGGTAATTATTGGCTTTGACCATCTGTGTTCTCTTTGTGTGCACCTGAAAGTCCTGAGAATCAAATATTTCTGTGTGCTCCTGGGCCTCAGATAGAGGGAATTACTTTATCACTAACAGGAACAAAAGTCTAGGAATAGACAGTGGTGGATTTGAGGGAGACTAAGAGAATTTCTGCCTAGGACAGCCCTATACTGCCAACTTGATAAAGGCTATGACAAATGGCAGATGCTATGAGATTGGTCTCAGAAGAAAGAACAGGCAAAAAAGAGGAAACAAATGGCAGTGGGGCCAGGGAGGAGAGAGGTGAAATGGTGGCTGTTGTTCATCTGCAGTACAGGAGCAGATGGGAGACGTAGGCTGTGCCATTCATAACTCATGCCCCCCGTGCCCTATAGTCATTGGGCCCATGGGTAGCCGCATGACCCAAGCCAGCCAATCATTCTTTCCCAAAATTTTTCATAGTTGGAGCTGGGATCCAGAAACCCTTTTTTTCCCAGGTCATGAAGTTGTTAGGAGTGAACCCAGAATGGCAGGGGGCCACCATGAGAAGGATCCTGTGTGCCGTAGACATGCCCAGCATGCACAGACAAGCAGAGACGAGAGCCAGCAAGGTTCTTGATGACGTCCATGGCCCTGGTTCCCATTGTCCCTAGAGCCAGCTTCACCTCCATTCATCTTGTGCTTTGGTTATGGGATCCCTTACACAACCCTTTTGTGCCAATTTTTTTTAAGGTTTTTCAAATCTAAGTTTATTTATTAATAATTTTTTTACATTCTAAGATGTTGTTGCAGAGCAGTGGGGGGAGGGGGAGAAGAGAAGGGGGAAGGAGAGAGTGTGGGGGAAGGAGGAAGGAGGAGGGGCTTGAGGCCTGTGGCAGCCCCCTCACTCCTGCAGGGGAGACCAGGGGCCTTCCAGTGGTGGCTTGGTCATTGCTGGGTGCAGATGTCAGGGGTTGTGGCTGAAGCCCTTGGACCCCCACTGCCCCAGCTTGAGAGACCAGGGGGCTTCCAGTGGTGATTTGGTGGCCATCACTGGGCTAGTTGCAGATGTTGGGGGGTGTGGCCAAAGCCCTTGGGAGCCTAGGGTGCTTCCTGTGGGTGCTCAGTGGTCATGGCTAGGCTAGTTGTGGATGTCGGGGGGCATGACTAGGCACCTGGCCCTCTCCACTCCCTGGCTTGGAGGCCCAGGGGCTTCTGGTCCTTCTGGGTTTTATAGGTGTTCTTTGGTGATGTGAGACCTTTACTAGTTAATATCAAACTTTGTCTCTGGTCTGTGGGTATTTTGTTTTTTCTTTCAGTTCTGTGTTGGATTATTTGCTGTTCCCACCACTTAAACTCATCACTGGAACTAATTTGTTGTCCTTTGCTTACTTCTAAAAGGGGGCAACATCCTGTGGGGACCAGCACTTGAGCTCTGTGGTTGAGCTAAATTGCTGCTTTGCTGCCAATTCCCTGGGGAGGGCCTCTCGTGCAGCTCAGGTTTTAATGGTTGACTTTATAGGTACTTCCAGGTCTCATGAGATCAGGTACACTGGAGTTGTGGAGAAGCTCTGGTCTGAACCTGAGTCTTTTCAGCAAACCGTACCCTCCGCTGTTCTATATTC